ATTTTCTTCCAGCCATTTTTGCTGGACTATCCATAATTACCCATTACATTTGGGATAATTATGGACGGACATTTGATAGGAGCTCTTTGTAAATTGATGAGTACTAATTATCTTATTGAACTTTAAGAAGATTTTTACATTAGCAGATAGAGAAATGTCTAGTCTATTCATCTGTGAAATGTCGTTTTTTCCCGAGCAAAATTAATTCAAGTGCGCTCAAAATACTGTGAAAATTAGAGAGGCTGTCGAGAATTATAGCAACTTACTCCCTACATATATCATAATAAAAAATGTAGCATCTTTAACCAAGTAATCAAGCTTTTGATCTATAGTGATTTTGAAAAATGTGGCTCAAGTTGCCTGACGTTATCTGGTACAACGTTACTTGTTATTTATCAACAAATGACATCATACATTTGTCTCAAACATGTCGATTTCTGTTTGATTGCATTAGTAATAGCAACCGCTTTTGGTGCCATTTGATTCGTGTGCGTTTTGGTCGAAAAGTATTACAACGATATACCATCGATTTGTTTCAACAATCAAACGATGATTATGAACTCTATCGGCATATTGAACAAGAAACGGATATACGTTATGAGTATGAAGCAATACCAAAAGATTTTTTTCGATTTAAAGGATGGTGGCCTAAAATAAATGCAGCAGAGTACCGTTTTGGATTTGCTCTAGTTCGGTCGTATCGATTTTATTTACAACGTCTTCAGCTAAAAATGGCGGTGACCGAAGATAGATTTCGTTTACAAGTACGCTATTCACACAAGTTCAATAACGAGAAATTGAATCCATATCGAAACTCAGTTCTATTATCGAAATTACTCTTTTACTATTTGTACGATGTTAAACGACTTATGAGTATAGACGGCTCGAAAGCGACTCATCGAATATTTTCTCATGTAATGCCAGGCAAATATACTGTTGTCTGGCGAATTCAACTCGATAATCCGCGGGCTGGTTTGTGGCATGAGCAGCATGTCGAATTCACTTCTTTACCGGAGTATGGTGAGCTTGCCGTTAGTAGTTGGACAAACAAAATTATTAAATCAAAATGGGAACTGAATGGTACAAATTGGTTTCACGAAACTATGGGCACGATAGTAAGTATCATAGCTGCGCATAATGGAATACTTTTTGATTCAGTTATAAAGACCGTAGGAGGCTACTTCACAAAAGATATAATCTCTACTGCGTGTTATCATCCAACCAACCACCAGACCTTTTATCGATCACATGATCTGACAGCGCACACAATTTCTCTACAAGCTGATATATTTAGTACTCAGTTTTATTGATGAAAAGTTGCTGGTCTATTGTCATCAGGAGTGCACCATGTATTTACATACATACAATACATGGCAGCGACGAAAATTTGTTGGATTATATATGCTATTCGAAAGGTCGTGGGAAAAACGTCAAGGACCTCAAATTTAAAAAGTAACACGTTGGCGAATGCAACTCTAACTATATAGACTATGCGAGGTGATTGTATTGCTTGAATAATATGCTTTAAGCAAAAACTTTCCATTTACACATAGATATTACTCCTATGGCCTTCGTAAATATCAGGAGTACTTAAGAAATTTTTAGGCTTAAATTTCAAGCCTTGAATACTGATTAGTAACTGATGTCTATACTATCAACTGAGAAGTTTAGTAGAGTATTGGAAATAATTTGATTGCAAATATAGTCACAGTGGTCAGTGTCTAGAGACTAGCGAAATTGCGAATTGGACGCAAAGTGAATTCGACTGTTTGTTTATAGAACGCCTTGTTGCATTAAATACACTATTAATATATTGCAATTTCTGAATAATTTCTAGATTGTTTACGACATATCAAACGTGTACGTTGCATTAACATATTATCATAGCCGTCCATTCGGAATGCGCTGGGACTACGTTGATTTGAAAATTACTGTTTGACCATAAACATTGGAGACGACCATATAATGGACTTTTTCTTTTTATAGTGCATGGAGATCACTTTTTTTATGTCGTTTGTACACTCGTTGTATTGCAAAATTTTTCTCGTTTAAAAGGTACCTTATTACATTCAATTTAAAATACTTCCCGCATATTAAATGTCATTTAGAAATGATTTCTAATTCGTTGTGGTCAATTTAAATGTGCAACTGATTTAATACCTGAAACAATGATACAGGAAGTACATCATTGGTTATCAATATCAAAAGCTGAATTTTTTTATCTTCCACCACCATTAGTCTAAAATAAGAACTGCATCAACTAACACTAGAAACGAAGCGTTTTGAAGTTTACCTTTTAACTGCTACTTTCAGCAATTTCCGAAACTCTATTGCGAAAGTGTACGACGGCGAAATTCATGGTATTCATCGCTCATACTGCACAAAGATCAGCAGAAATCCTGGAAGTTCTCTGGAGACTTTCCAATGTAAGCATGGGACTCGGAATGTCGTTAAATATCTGTTGTTCAGCACAGAAATCAGACATTACTCATCAGGTATGAGAGTAACTTGGAGAAATTTCAGATGACTGTAAGCATTTAAGAAAATCCTGCGTATATCAACGGTATACCGTCGACACGTCTTGCTTGTTGCCGTAGAACCACAGGAGAAATATCGGCAGTACTTAAGGATACCGCAGAATACCGAGGGTTTTCTGCAGGACATAGGTAGTTATCATTTTCTTCGTTAGCACTATCACACATATACTGTGCGTAATTGATTAATACCTATATTTTGTTCACTTTGTTCCGTTTTGTCTATAGAACACGTCACTGTCTTATTTATTCATGGTCGACAAGTGCTTACATTTTCATCTCTAGAAAGGAATCCAAACCCCGTCACACAAACACATAACTTATTCTAGTGGCATAGACCAGTGGAAAACAATTCTTTTTTGAAAATGATCAAACTTTTTAGACCGGTTGTTACCGGTTTACAAAAACTTTTTAATCCGAAGTTCACGGCTGTTATGCGTTCAAATATCTATGTACTCATGTGTAGTACTCGGCTTTTAAGAAACATGCATCTATTAGGAACAGAAGAAGATGGGTGCTTTACACAGAGGAATTCACTCGTTTCAAATGATAAACTAGATCGTCTTTTTTTAATCATATTCAAAACAGCCTCAGTCACACAATGGAGAGAGAGCTGTAAAAAATACTTAAAAGTCGCTCAAAATAATATTGTTACAAACACTTCGGCCTTTTCCGGGGTCATGAGATTGAATGTCGCGTATTTCAGCTAAAACTAAACGTATTCTTTATCGAAAATAGCCAAAAGATAGTCCACAGTTTGAGAATAATTCTGATAAAAAGAAGTGAAAGATCAATGCTCTCCTGACTGTAAAAAATGACAAGTGCTTTTTCAGAAACGAGCTTCATGGATTTCTAAGATGTCGCTGGATCCACTTTTGTAGAAGACACTTCGGACTATATACCTGAAACAATGATACAGGAAGTACATCATTGGTTATCAATATCAAAAGCTGAATTGCATGTATTTTTATCAAAGAGCCTCAATACGATGAAATTTGTGATGAATTTTACAAACAATCTCAGTCGTTAAAAAATGATCAACCGCTGATAGAAAAGAAAGTTGTTCCAAAAACAGTAAAAGGAACAATTGGAGTTCAGAAAGGTGACCACACTCAACAAAAAGTACTATAAACCTATATCATGTACGCCCTGTGAAACTTCTTCTACCCAAGATCTTGGCTTAAGAAATGTCACAAGATCTTGGAAAAAACGCCAAGAAGTCAAGATCTTGGATTCTTGAAACTCTCACTCAAGATCTTGACAAGATTTTGAAACATCTTGGCTTACTCTACTCAAGATCTCGGAAACAGAAATTTCAAGATCTCGAGTGAATCAACTAAAGATGTTGCAAGACCTTTACAGGAAAATTTTCTTTACATTTTACTTTTATTTTCCGAGTCATAAACATCGCACATACACCAAAATTCATAAGAAGGTAATTGTTTGTAATATTTTCTTTTTATTTGGAATTTAATACACTTGTGCGACCTGACTGGGTTATGAGTGACTGACAAACACCTGACTGTCATTAATTGCATGAATTATGCTCATTCGGTATCATTGACAGAAAGGTCCGGGCATTTCTCACGTAATAAATCATCATCATTGACAGTAACTGGACTGGTGTTACTATTAAATGATAATGTAGAGAAATCAACTTATCAACTCAATCTTTACTACACCGAATAGCTGGCAACGAGTTTTCAATGTCTAATTTAACCCCATTAGCGCAAAATCAACCTTTTATACGGAGGACAGAATCGCTTCAAATTTTTTTTCTGAAGAGCTTATTATATGCATCGGCCGTCAGCAAAGTATCTCTTGATTCTAATCACTTTTCACATTTAGAAATATGGCTGATACTTATAACAACGCTTCATTCGACTTCTTATGCACGACAGACAGCTATTGTCTATTAGGTGAACATATTTGGGAAATATTTGGTATATTGTGCGATATTTTTGGTTTACC